TTCATCAAATTAACGCGGATAAATGAACGATTCGTATGAATTTTTTTGTTGTTATAGAGAAATGAAAGAGTAAATCAGTACCGAAAATCGAATATCGATCAATACCGTAAATCAGTGTCAGAAAATTGTCCAAGTGCAATGACAATTTGTTCTCATTTTTCAGGTACTTACCCCTCTAATCTTATTTAACAAATTAACTCGGATAAACAAACGATTCGTATCAATTCTTTTTGTCTTATAAAACAATGAGAAAATAAATCAGTACCGAAAATCGAAGACCGTTCAACATCTAATTTTTTTATCAAATTAACGCGGATAAATGAACAATTTGTATCAATCTTTTTTTCTTTTATAGAGAAATCAAAGACTAAATCAGTACCGAAATCCGGATATTGATCAATACTATAAATCAGCGTTAAAAAATTGTCTAAATGCAATGACAAGTTGTTCTCATCTTGCAGGTACTTACCCCACTAATTTACTCAACAAATTAAGTCGGATAAAAGAACGATTTGTATCAATTTTTATTCTCTTATAAAGAAATTAAAGAACCAGTCAGTACCGAGAATTGAAGACCGATCAATATTTAATTTATTCATCAAATTAACGCGGATAAATGAACGATTCGTATGAATTTTTTTGTTGTTATAGAGAAATGAAAGAGTAAATCAGTACCGAAAATCGAATATCGATCAATACCGTAAATCAGTGTCAGAAAATTGTCCTAGTACAATGACAATTTGTTCTCATTTTTCAGGTATTTATCCCTCTAATTTACTCAACAAATAAACGAATGATTCGTATCAATTTTTCTTGTCTTATAAAGAAATGAGGGAATAAATCAGTGCCGAAAATTGAAGACCGATCAATATTTAATTTATTCATCAAATTAACGCGGATAAATGAACGATTCGTATGAATTTTTTTTCTTATAGAGAAATGAAAGAGTAAATCAGTACCGAAAATCGAATATCGATCAATACCGTAAATCAGTGTCAGAAAATTGTCCAAGTGCAATGACAATTCGTTCTCATTTTTCAGGTACTTACCCCTCTAATTTATTCAACAAATTAACTCGGATATATAAACGAACGATTCGTATTAATTTTTTCTTCTCTTATAGAGAAATGAGGAAGTATATCAGTACCGGAAATCGAATATCGATTAATATCGTAAATAAAAATTTATATTGCTGTTTAATTCCATCGTCGCAAAAGATTTGACGTTTTTCTTGCCGACATTCAAATCAATAGTTTTCTACAAGTTAGGATTTGATAAAAAAAAAAAGTCTTTCCCGAGTCGAAATATTAATTCTACATTGATCCTGCAAATTGCATTCAATTTGAAAAATCAATGCAGAATATCTAGATGCGCAATAGTGAACAAGCTTTGTCCTACCTGAACGTTACATCTGGCTACTCTCGCAGTCTCGCCCATGATGAGTCTTCAACAGCGACATATTCCGCAATTATTTAATACTCGTTGATCTCGATAATGTATATGTACTTAATCCTTATATTCTTAATTTAAATGAGCAATTTTTGTTGATGTTGGTTATATATTCGCTTAACAGCGCAAGAAAGAGAACAAAGATAAAAACGTAAATAGAACTGCCTTTGTTAGAACTGCGCGTGAGATAAATATATAAGGATTAAATAATCATATAAGAATTAGAGGAAATGGGAAGATGAAAAACACTTTTTATTCTCATCATTCTTAAAGTTCTTTTTTCCTTTTTTCTTCTCTTTTTTTCTTTTCTTTTTTCTAATGAGAATGATGAGAATTGTAGCTCTCAAAAGAGCTGAAGCTGCAAAAAGACAACGGTTATGTCTAATAATGCTGTTTCACTAATAGAGATTTTAATTCAGATTCGGTACAATAAGAAAGATAAACAAGAATGAGAAACGAACATTCTAGCAGATTCTAAACGAAAACAGCAATCTGAGCATTATTAGACGGATAAAAATCAACATTTGTAAAATGTATATCAGATTCTAAGATCATTACTCATAGTTTTCTAAATTATGTGCAACTTTTTATTGAGAACATAATTAAAAATTTGTATTCATAAACCTTAGCTTGCCTCAGCAATCTTGCTTGAATAGACATTCATATTTTATGAGAAAAGAAATGTAGAACTCATGTTACGTGAAATTAGGTTAACGAATAATCAAATCTCAAGCTATTTTATCATTTTTCAGATGGTAAACTATGAATGCTGATCTAATTTCGACTCGGGTATGTCCTTACTTCGAGTAAGGTCCGTTAAAATCAGAAAAATCCTGCGTAATAATAATGACTCGAGGTACCTCGAATACCATACAAGATGTATCGCTGTCCACATCTCTCGGCGCGCTCCAAGTCCTCTGTCCATCCTGACTTCTCGATCCGACGTCCTCCTTCTGGTTACTCCGTCGCAGCACCCCCGGATACTCCATCGTAGCACTGGCGATGACACTGACTCTAGCTCTAACACTCGCGCAAGTAAGATTCGGGGACAAAGAAACGCGTATTAACCGATTACTCTGCGTCGCGGCATGCGCGTTGTTCGTCGGCCCGAGGCGCAATGTCCTTTCCGCAATCACGGAGTCATATATAAGCGTACGAAAACAAACAATCGGGAAGGCACGGTTACCCCCCACCTTGCCGATCAGTGTTGATGCCTGCGTCGTCCGTTAGCTGAAAATGAAAACAACTCGTGTTTTCAAAGCATGCCTGAGAGAGAGAGTCGCTTCAAACTTCACAATAATTATTTACGTCTGTTCCAAGAATCATATTACGCTGAATTCAAACTGTCTCTATTTTGACATGACATACACGAGATCTGCGATCGCACCATTGATCTTTCTTTGGACAAGAAAATCCTGAGAGGGACGCTGTTCGAGAATATCACATTTTATGTTTCAGGTGCCTTGCAGATTATCGAATCCGATGTAACAGATCAGGGAAAGTATGAATGCGTCGCTATGAATAACATCGTGGGCACGGAGTACTCCAAGTCAATCACGTTATACGTGAAACGTACGTATATATTTAATATTATATAAAACTTACCTTTTTAAACAAAAAGGTAAAAGAAAAGCGCCAAGTACAAGCGCAACACGTATTGTGTTATTTTTAGAAGTATCAAACTCAAATTATTTGTTTTTATTGTATATATGTGTACATAAGTTTTTACAAGTAAAACTTATAACTATAATAAAACTCTGCAACACTTTTCTACTGTACAAAAGAAGTGATATATTAGAACAGTAGCGCCAACTGAGAAACCTAACATATATATATGATTATTGTATATTTAACTTAATATTTTCAGAAATCTCAAATTCAAATTATTTTCTTTTTTAAGATATATATTATGTACATAATATAAGTTTTTATAATATATGTACATAAACTTCTAAAAGTAAAAATGTGTACGTTTAGAAAATATGTTAGCAACTAATTGTACAGAATGTCAAAGTTGTTGTAACGCCGTTTTCGGAGAATAATTAAAGGTCATGGTAGCGTTAAAGAGTGGAATTTCATCTCATGCGAATTTTGTCTCGTTCTTATTAAATGTTAGATTATCCGCTGCGGACAATAACTCTTCTACTTTTCATCTAATATTCAATGATAATAAATAATATTTAATTGCATTCGTTTGGCTTTTTTTATTTCGAAAATAAAAAAATATATACCAGGGTGAGATTTCACCCATGACAACATCAACGTGATTTTCTTTGATGCTTTTTTTAAAAGTTCAAATATTTCGTCGACTCGCGGGATATTTATAATCGGAGTCTCGTCGCGTTAATTAACATGTGCTCCTCCGAGCGGATCGAATGCTCACCGACGGCCACTGTCAGTGCCACGAGCGAATGTCCAGAGCGGACGGGATGCTGTATTGAGAAGCAGGACGAAGGGAACGGGACACGAGCAACGATACATCATACGTCTCGAGACGTATCAAATCGTTTATTATACAGGAGACTTTGATACGGCAACATGTATGTAGAGGATTTAATATTTAATATGTACTTTTATTTTTCCTGCTCCCCCTCCCCCCTCTTTTTAAACCTTCGGGCATAAGGCCTGTTCGTTTTGTCTGCACTGTTTATTAATTAGTGCATTAAGTTAAAGTGAAACAAACGTAGATTTTCTCACTTCAACTTGTTGCACCAGTTCAGCAGTGCAGACAAAACGAACAGGCCTATTGTCTGGCATAGAGATAGTAACTATGGTTACAGCACGGACATAAACCGCCTGAAAGTAGATGTAGCACGGACTTCCACCACATGCAGATTTTACCACTGAGACCTAAAAGTGGATGCAGCATCGTAGTTCTCCTCTCAAAATGGATGCAGATGGCGCCCATTTCCAGTGCGAAAAATCGGTGTCGCTGAAAACGCTGTGTTGGCCGCTCTCAGCTTCTTCTCTGCTTGAACCATACAACTTATGTCTGTCCCAGTACTTTTTATATACCCTGTATATGTATATTGAATGTTATATATTATGAATAATATTCGGTCTTAATAATATTTGAAATATTTTATTTTATTTTATTTCCCCTCAAATAATTAATAAATTCTGGAATCTCCAGATCTAATAAATGTTAAAACAATTTCCTAGTGCACTAGTGTTTTTAGCTGCTGGCATTTACACAACTTGTGTCGACATAGAGCCATTTCATTGGTTACCAATTATCACTAGATGACACGAAGCCAATAAAATCGCTACAAATTTAGTGTTCTGCTTTCCAGGATAGTCATATTATTCAGTTCATCCCTGAAGCTAGGAAATAGGTAATTACATAATTATTCAGTCAAAGCTAAAGCCCTAAACACAATGCCAGGCAACAGGCAATAAGAATAAAAATAGACCAATCACAATAGATTATTCTTGTAATAATCGATTGTGTGATTGGTCTATTTTTATTCTTATTGCCTGTTGCCTGGCATTGTGTTTAGGGCTTAATCTATAAACATTAGGCACTGTGTATGGATCTCCCTGCTTGAGAATGGCGTATGGGTACACCCGTCTACCTAAAGCCATATACCGAACTGAACTGTATGGATCTCCCATAAAATTCAATCCACTCGTTTGTTGTTACCGTTGTCATGTTGCCATGCTCGAAAATGATCGATATTTCCTCAAAATAAGAACAAGAAACACTCTTGTGACAGTAGTTACAGATGCAAGGAAACCTTCGACGTTGATATGGACAAGCTTTCAAAACCGCAAATAATATGTCACATCGAGAAATCAGTGGACTACTCACTGTTTGACGTCAAATGGATACCATGCAGCGCGAAGTTTGTAGTGATGGGCGCACGACCCAGAGGTACCGGTATCATACAAATCTACGAAGTATCCAGTGGCGAATTAAAGTTGATCAAGGACATTGAGAGATCTAATCAGATGAAGTGCGGCACGTTCAAAGCTTCCAGTCTTCGAGATAGACATTTAGCTACCGGTGATTTCAAGGTTCGTTTTTATTTCAATAAATAGCTACATTCTATATCTGTATCCAATGTTGTATAGCGTTCATGTGATACATGAATAACAAATAAATTATTTTACAGGGGAAATTAAACATCTACAATTTGGAAGATCCTTCAATCCCAGTTTACAGCGTTGATGCTCATAAGCAGATCATAAATGCCATTGATGGCGTAGCTGGTGTTAATGTAGGATGTGGCGCACCTGAAATAGTAACAGGATCCAGGGATGGTAGTGTAAAAGTATGGGATCCCAGACAAAAAGACCGACCAGTTGCTATCATGAAAGCCAAAGAAGGTGAAAACCAGCGAGACTGCTGGTCAGTTGCATTCGGCAATTCTTATAATTCCGAAGAGAGAGTTGTAGCTGCAGGATACGACAATGGTGATGTCAAAATGTTTGACTTGAAAACAATGTCAGTGAGATGGGAGAGCAATCTGAAAAATGGAGTTTGCAGTCTAGAATTTGACAGAAGCGACATTCTTATGAACAAATTAGTTGCCACTACACTTGAATCCAAATTTTATTTATTTGATTTAAGAACTCAGCATCCAAAGAAAGGCTTTGCCTATCTTGTTGAAAAGGTCTGATATCCAATATCTAGATTTATATTCATTAGATATGAATCGTGAACTATTAGTTTATGACACTGATTGCATAATTTCAGGCTCACAAATCGACAATATGGCTAGTCAGGCATTTACCACAAAATCGAGAATTATTCGCGACCTGTGGCGGCAGTGGAACTTTTTGTCTTTGGAAATAGTAAATATATTTAATATAAATATGTTTCTGAACCATATTGCAATTATATTTCATGTTCGTGGTACCGAAAAGGTATACATTAGAAATTGATTAATATCAATCATTCTATAGTAATTATCCAGAGAAGAGGAAAACTACTGACGCTGACGGAATCGAGCAAGGAGTTGTTGGTAACGTCGATCTAGTGCAGAATTACACGCTTTCATCGCAACCTATTAATTCATTGGATTGGTGTCCAGACAAACAAGGACTTGGTGTTTGCACTTCGTTTGATCAATGCTTACGTGTTATCATCACTACGAAATTGAACACATATTGATTAAATAAATCGGAGAGGATATATATATAAATAAATATTTTATATATTTATGACAAAAGATTTGAATTCGTTTTAAATTGGTCCTTTTGATATTATTTACGCCCAAATTAAATCTCAGTCGGATTTGCTTGCGATGAAACTCGTCACACATCTGGTAGTCAGATATTCGTAATATTTTCTCGTTTGCAGATATATATATATGGAAAGAAAAAGCGTGGATCTTGACAAGAAAAACTCAAATTGACAACTATGCGTTACTTCAATTCGATTGTAAAATCCTCTTTGCAATTCGTGTGCAGGTCGAAGAATCTAAGGCCTATTAACAGAATTCGAAAGCCGCGCGTAAGGAAGTTCACAACATCCTCCGCCAGATATCGCTTCGGCGCTCTGAAAGCTGAGCTCGAGATATCGATTTCTCGTGCGCACGCGGGCGCGAAGTTTATTACGCAATAGCGAATGGCGGCGGACAAAAGCGAATTATATGTCATTGGGCCAATCTATTTAGGATCGGACCCTTATTAAGCATCAGCCATCTTGTTCGGTCGCGCGCGAGCGTTACGCAATCGTCGTACGTCCGCCATTTCAGGCACGCACGGCCCACGTAGCGCATACACTTCCGATGCAACGCACGAGAACGCAGCATACAACTCGAGCGCAAGCATGCACACAAGGTCATGAATATCTCGATTTTAATTACATAAATTATCCGTCGCTGAGTCTGCCGTGTCTGCGTCGCGATATTATGTTACTGCCGTTATCGAGCACGTATTCACCTCGCTTCTACACTTTCTACACTTTAAGCCCGTTTGCTTTAACTGCACTCTGCACTCGCGAGTCAAACGGTTGTTATCGCGACAAGCTGTACGTTGCAAATCTCTCGGAAACTTTTTGCTATTTGCTATGCACCTTGTGATAATTGTCTTTAATAAAATTACGTCTATCTGGTCTTCGAGCGACAATAGAATACCCACTTGCAGGTTTAACAACTTCAAAGCGGGCGAGTGAATATTTCGTAACTTTCGCAACTTTGGCACGTTTGGTCATCAACTTGATCATTGGTCTTCATCAGCTTTAGCTGATATTTGGCTGCTTTGTATATGAAATTTAAGCGGTAGTCGATGTAATAAATGTGAATACTGCGTCTCATGTTTTATAATCTTGATGCGATTGATGTATCCATCGGACATGTGCAAGAGATAGTGCCTATCAGAGATTTATACGAATGTCCAAACACGTGATACAATATGCCGTTCAGTTTCCTTCAGTAATCCCCAATCCAATGTTTACACATCTCTACTGTCTTTATTATATTCCCTAAAATTCAAAGCAATTTCACTGACGTCAGCTAATATTGGCCAGCTTTATTAACAGAAGCACGATTAAAATAGTTCCGTTACGATATAACACTTTAATTGCGCATTGTGTCTATTAACCGACTATACTTTCGCACGAATGGAAAATTACACCTAACGTGCGTGTTTCTCGCGACTTGAACTTGGTTGTATTTTCGTGTTACACTCGGTTATATTACAACTCGACAGCTGTATATCTGTGTCTGCTGGGTTGATGGGATATCGCGAACATACGTGTTAATTGAAGCAAGACAAGGCAGATTATTCTGGAAGTATCCTAGATATCAGTCGGCTAGCTTGTACCAGCGAGATGTATGTATCTTACATAGATCCATCGCGTGCGCGTCCACCGGCACGTCAACACAGTACAGAGTATATTCACATAGCATGCAAAAGCTGGGCTCCTATTTTCGTGCTTTGATGGCGCACTTGGTGCGGTAGACTCCTTGACGATTTGGTCAACGTCCAAGATCCACACGCTATGACTTCGTAATACCTCAGATATTACGAGGTAATAGCAGCCCTCGGATAATTATCCTCGAGGCTTTGCGGCGAGCTCTCTTTACTCCCACCCTACTCACCCTGGACCACCCTGGCTGCCCGATCGTATGATAATTTAGGTAACATCACTTCCTAAGGACCCAGACCCGAGATTTTTCTTGATTCTTTATAGACCCACATGGAGTATTAAGATTTATTAAGATTATCTACAAGATGTTGCATCTCCAGCCGAGCATTTAATATGACTCCTAAGTACTGAAAGGTATTACCTTGTCTCTAAGTGTCCTAAGTGGTTTGCTAGACACTAGTTTGTGTCATTTTCCATTAAAACCACAACGTTGGTCTTGGACAGGTTAAGTTACCATCACGCTCTTGATCTCGCAATTCTCAACAAACCTCAGAATTTTATTCAACTAGTACCTGGAGGTTACAAAAAAGGTCCCCCTCATCAAAATAGCCATATTATCAGTGTGCAAACAAGGGAATCCTTCTCTCCGTAGTTTTCCCGATACATTATTCATTATGAAGTATTACAGGAAAATATAAATTTATAGATTGATATTTTTCTATTTGTATTCCAAGATATAACTTTGATATAAGTTAGACATAAATTAATTATGTATCTATTTTTGATGAAAAATATTATTATCACAGCAATTGTTGACATATTAAAGAAATTTCACAATTGATGAATTGATTAACACACAATTGATTAACATGCACACATTACTGCTTTATGCGCTAGAATTCTGTGATCAATCTACCAAAAATAATTTCAAAAAGTATCGGAAGATGAAGAAATAAAAAAAGACTATATTGCGATAAAGTTTATATATTCTTTTTTTTTATTTTATTTATTTTATAGTAAAATATTTACTATAGATGTTCTGCTCTCCACAAACTCACTTTGACGTACAAACAGTAATGAAAAGTTTTTTCAGTCTATGAAATATCTTTAACGTGACTTTAAAATGCCAGTTTCTTCATCAGTAAATACATATATTGGTCGATCTCGAAGCCGTGCAGGTTGTTCGCGTCACCTTGAAGCCTCATCAGCAGACCTCCAAAGGATACGTAGGCTGATCTAGAAACAAAATGGAAAGAGCACGATCAATCATGAGGCCGTGTCACGCATCTCACACTTAAAACTACTTCGGTGAAGAGAAAATATATCGCTAAGGCGGTACTAATTAGTCGACTCGGGTACATCGCTTTGTTGTTACAAAATTCTTGAGCGATCAAGTGATTCTCGCGTTCTGGAGCGAAATCGTTGTCCTTACTGAGGTCGTGTTAGCGTCAGTGCTCCTCCCGCTTGCAGGCTTGCGATCGTCATAATTGCAGTGCCGATAGCGGTCGTGCTAGATCAACGACACAACCAGCTAACCACACTGCCAACATGCCGATCGCTAAAGGAACTTCTCCCTTTGAACGATTAGGACAGAAAGATGTATCTTCCGCTGAAGATACTTCGAAATACGTCGTCCAGAACCTCGGTAAGCCATCTTCTACTCGTGCCCTGCACCCTCATGATGCACACGCCAGAAATTAAACCCTCGCAGCAAGTCCGTTGTTTTGCGAGGTCTGTGAATACGTTGCCTTCACAGATTGCGAGGTTCAGTTTCGGGAGGAACCAATTACACACTTCCCAGTCAAACGCCGAAACAGTCACGCGCGCTGCATAACAACGGAACACCGCTAACTCTCTCTCTCTCTCTCTCTCTCTCTCTCTCTCTCTCTCTCTATCTCTCCAACCGATCAGCAACGGAGACTATCGATTGCTTACGTAATCGATACCGACATCTCGGAACAAACCATTGATGTCATCCTGCGACTTGGGGCCTCACATGAACCGTGTCATTCTTCGTCTTCCCAGATCTAACCTCATACGCGTGACATTGTTCTTGCTTCGAAGTCTCGACCTTAAAACGCATCCTCTTATTACGCGGCAGACGTAATTACCTCTCGACGAACGAGACGTTCGCGAATGTGACATCAGTGCCGTACGCAAGACGAAGGTTGGAGGACTCTGCAGAACGGGCGACGCCAATATGCGCGATACTTACGCGAAAACGCCTCGCCCGGATCCAGATTTCGCGCGCGCGCGCGACTCTCGCGTGTGTTTGCGAAAGAGGCGAGAGGAAAATGCGAATACCTAACCGACGGGAATACTCGCACGTGTTTACCAGGTCTCCCGCGATCGATTGACCTTGCGCCTCTGACGAATCTCTGGCACTATATAAGAGACCGTCCCTATAAGAGTCAATTATTTTTAACCCAGTATTTCGGGCTTCCGCTTGCGCGCGCTCTCTCTCTCTCTCTCTCTCCTCCCCCCCTTTCCCTGCTTCTCTTTCTTCTCTCATTTCCTCTTCTACTCTCATCATCGCGTCTCAGACAATCTTAATCTGTCTCATGTGTCGTATCTTTAGGTCTTATTAAACATAGCACCAAGCGTAACGCCAGCCAAATTGTAAATTTAATCGTTCAGATTTGTCGATTTCGTCCAACAAATTTACCCGTGTCATCTACGATGACTTCAAATTGCACCAACTGATTTTACTCCGTTCAACTTCGCGTTAAATCTGAGTTTTAGAAGTGTTTTAGAATAATCGTGGCAAATGAGAAGGATCACAGTTTCCCTTTTGATGTTTCGTATGAAACGTTCCGTCTGAAACTTTCGAGGAATCTCTTCCTCGACGATTTGTATTTTTCTTTCAGATTTCTACGTTTGTTACGATGGCCAACGCGGATGAAACGATTGAGATGCAACTTCTGTCAATTAAAGTTCCCGGACTTTCGGCTAATAACTCGTTATTGGACTCTGTTTCGGTTAATTGAAAATTAAATTTTAACAATAAATAATCGCAGCGGTAAACTCTTGACGATATTAGAAGAAGGAAAAATGGTCGTGATAATAACGCAATGTGACAGAGTCGAGAAAAAATGCAAACACTCGACATATAATCTCGCGTCGTTAGAATTTTAAATAAGATCGTCGTTGGAATGCGCCGGGAAATTCGCCCGTTCCTCTCGATTATCTTCGTCGCAAGCACAAACGACGACGCAGGAGAGAATTTCTGAACGCTACACGAAATGAACCGTTTTGTCAAACTGCCACAAGTTATCCGCTAATAAAGGCGCTGGTGAAATTAAATGAGGAACGCATCAGATGATTTTTATTGTCATTCGAAATACAATATGTGATCCTGTGACATACAAACGACGTGCATGTATGCGTGCACGCATAATCGTTACGTATACGCAACGTTTTCCACCGTTAACGAGCCCCTCGTTAAAGACGACCAGACAGACATCAGCTACTCGGGAAGTTTCGTTGTTACCGCTGATGAAATCCAGAAAGAAATCAAACACGGAAAGAGATAAGGAATAAGTAGAAACGCTCGTCGAGACGCAGCGCACAACACTCGTCGCTTCGATAATACATCCCTCCCCCCTCTCTCACAGAGAGCGTATACATCGCACAATGAAGAAAACGGAGCGGCAAAAAGCGACGCTTGGCAAACACAGTTCCGTCGGCGAGATTTTATTTATCGCGATGCACGATTAACGAGCGCCGGCAATTAACGATCGACTTCACGCTAATCGCGGCGCAACTCGTCGTCGACTTGCTCGAGAGATTCCAACGAGTTTCCGTGTCCAACAGTCGCTCGTGCCCCGTCGCTGATTACTAGTCCGAACATGCTTCCGCGTCAAAACTGAAGATTATTAAATTTTTATTAGAACAAGCATTTGTTACTAAAGATAGGCCGAGCCAAATTGGCGGCTGCTGCCATTGGTGAGATCGGCGGACTCGGAAATAAATCGGTCGTCCTCGAAGCGCCGTCAAGCACGGGAGCCACACTAGCTTAAAATTTACTTCTCGCGCTGTTATAATTAGAATTATTCCTCGAGTACGCAAAATAACGAGACTTCCCCAAGGGACGCTCTAAATTCGCTGCGTTCCCTTCCGACGACAACCAACTCCCAGAGGGACAACCTCTGAACGACGACGGTAGTCGCATACAATCGTTGTTCGTTCGCGCTTCTCGCAGCGGAGATTGTTCGTATAGTTCGTACGCGCGTAACTCGTGCTGTGATCTCCTCCGTCGTGTATACGCACTTATTTACACTATGACATTAAACTAAAAATCGATCGTTGTATCACTCCGTCGCTGATGCCGGCGACAGAAGAGATGTCGTACCAGATAGTGCATTTACAGTATTCAGGGCCCGTGTAAACGCGCATCTGGCACGAGCCCCAACTGCCCTGTAATCTTATATTGGCTTGCTTCCGCT